CCAATCTGGTTACTTTTCCTTCTATAGGTTTGACATACATGCTGGGCAAACTCTGTTTGAGAATTTATCCTTACAGTAGATTGTTCTATGTGGCAGCACACAGGACATATCATCATTCTGGGTAGTGTGCGCGCGGCGCTTGCTTGCTTTTGGTGCAGGTGTGTGAGTGTGTGTGCGCTCGCGCGTGTTTTCAAGTGTGTCCGTGTACTTGTATCTGTATGTGAGAGAGAGTGGGAGAGATGAGGTAGCCACATCATCAAGGTGAGAATCAATTCAATTTTGATGCGACGAGAGATAATCAATGTCCAACATGCGTGCCCTCATGTTTAAACTCTAAGTACACAGGTGTATACTCCCTCCGTTCCTAAATAGATGACTCAAGTTTGTACTAACTTTAGTACAAAGTTGGGTCATCTATTTTGGAACGGAGGGAGTACATATTACAGCTTCTATGGACAAATCAGATACCCTCAATATATCTAATTTGTCCATATAGTTGTATAATATTGTAATTTTTTAATTATTTGTTGAATCTTTTAGAGATAAACTACCGCAATAATTCCTTCTTACAAAGAAAAATATATTTTCATTGCTTTTTTTCTGTCATTTATATTCCTCTTATCAGATAAAACCACTCCTAGAATTCTTTCCTCCTTACTTTGATTTGCAGCGCATTGTGTTTAACTAGGTCATTGTGTTGATCTTATTTCCACATATTAAAGCCCATAGTGTGAGAATATTTTAGAAATTTGATACAAGCAGTGTAATTCATTGTGCGATTTTAATTAAGATACTTAGCATGATGATTTGTAGACTGAAGAGTTTTAATGTTGGCTTTTCCCTCTATATTAATATTTATAATTAATGTGTATGTGTGTGAAAATAAATATATGTGCTAGAGAAAAATATATACATGACCATGGTTATACAATGCTTTGCATGCCTAGTTTGTGTGCGTGCATAAATTACTAGCAATAAAGGAAAGTGCATTTGGGGGACTGGCTCCATGAAGCCCGCTATTATTATTTTCAGCCAAAATACTTTTTCCGTACCTTAAAAAGTATGCACATCAAAATATATTTGTAGCATACACATACTAATTTTCATTAGCATATATATTCATATGTGGTGTACAAAAAAATACAGGTACATAAGCATTTTCATTGTTGTATTTGGGCCATATTTTTTTCTTTTTGTATAGCCTGCAAATAGTGGTTTATTTAATGAAGATTTACATATAGTTAGAAAACATGTATATGTTTTTTCAAATGATTTTTAAAATTTTAAGTAGTTATGTCTTTCAAGTGTTGAATTCTAGTAATAGTGAGTACTAGTAGTAGACTGCCATGCAGTTGTTGTAACCCATGCTTGATTAGCACAACATTAGCACATGAGGATAGAGGCATGGTTGTTCATCAAAGTAACGTGACTGCTCACTGAAACGATGTGCCTGAGAAGCCTCTAGTAAGCATGCTAAACTAGACAAACGTACCCATTACCATCGCTTGCTTAATTTTGACAGATCAAGAGATCTAGCTTTTTTAGTGTAACGGCCGAGCTTTATTGATTCACTAAAAGAGGGATGTGGCAGTTCTAGCTAGATTATGAGCATCATCATTTGACTCGCGCTGTTTGTGTCTAAAGATGGACACCTGAAATTCTCTCGCCAAATAATCATCTCCTTGAGAACCATGCAGTAGTCGCCCCTTGATTCACAACCTTGATTAATCTCCCGCACAACAAAGATTTTTGCAACATTGAAATATGTCAAGAGACCTAGTTGTTCCATGCATCAACCACATGCAGGTGTCCTTGGCAGGAGAACTGCTATACAGACGACATTCACAGACGATTTCAGCACGACACTCCATCTCACACCATCCATTCAAGACGCCAATGTACAGAAAGTTGTTGGATTTGGCATCGGCTCAGCATCGTGCAAGCAAATGTCGTCTGTGAAGTACTTTCGCCTTGGCAGTGTGTGGGCTGGATTCCACTTCTCAGTAGTTCTCTAGTACGTTGTGCCCCTCCTGTGACACGTGCAACATTGTAGCCCGAAAATTGACTGAAAGAGCAGGCAAACTTATTTTTATATTTATTATTATTATTATTATTATTATTATTATTATTATTATTATTATTATTATTATTATTTGTATGTATATATACAGATGTGTTGTATTTTTTCCATGGTAACAGATGTGTTGTATGTGTGTGCGAATTTTGAAGAATAGGCATTTATACGCGACATATACAAAAACATAAATGTATGAACCAAAATGGGCATATCTTTTGTTGCTTTTGGGACAGAATTTATCATTTTTGTCTAGCCTACAATTTATTATATTTTTTATGAAACTTTACATACACTAGAGAACATGCATATGTTTTTGCAGAAAAAAAAAATGAATTTCTTGAAACTTTAATTTCAATTTTTGAAACATACCAGGCTCCATGGAGCCCGGGACCTACACTATTCGATCTTCCTTTGTTCAAATGGCCAATGGTTTGTAAATTAGCTGCTAGGTTAGCTCTGAATAAAAGCATTTTAGTTGTTCGTGCACATGGATAGGCTGGTTAGGATAATATGGAGCGCGCGCGCGCCCACACACACACACACACACACACACACACACACACACACTTTTTGGGTCGCGCGTCTGCACCACGATTAGAAAACTTAGATTTGCATATTCTGCACATCTTCATGTTTGCTTTAAGTTTTTTTATAGTAAAACTTATAACGGTAGACGATTATAAATGATTTATTCATAAGTTTTTAAGTTCCATAACATAAGCTGAATAGGAACTTTGTGTGGGAAGTGCGAAATCAGGTTTCCAAATCATGGCACAGATATGTGGCCCACAAAGTGTGTGCGCGCCCCCTGCGTGCCCCTTCGAATTTCTCTCAAGAAATGGCCTAGTAAAACACTGATGCACTTCTAAAGTTCTAAGATGCATTTTTATTATTATCTTAGAGAAATTGATTGCCCAAATTAGTTTCTAGGATACATAGGATAGTAACTTCTATTTTGCTGATCCATGAAGGATTTGACTTTCCATCCCTTCAGCTCCTCGGGTGTGGGAAGTACAATAAATTGTAATATTTACTTGCACATGGAAATATGATATGTGGAGGAATTGGTAAAATGAGAAAAAAGCAACTCAATGTTGTAGTTCTCATAGGTAGAGGTTTTGCCTTTGGTGTAACACATAATTTCCTTCTAATTCTTGCGACAGGCAGCCCACAATGGTTGCCAGATGGAAGTAGAAGTTCGTCCTCACAAAGATGAAACACTATCAGGTGAGCTCCGACTTACCGCCCATGGTTGCTCTTTGTGAACCCAAAAAGTATGTTTTTGCCACCACAGTGGTTTCTTGTCTCATTGCATCTTGTCTTTCCAGGCCGCTCTCGATGATAGGTGCTCTTCTTTGATTTCAATAAGAGTTGTAGATGTTTGCTTTTGAATTCAGTTATGATATATATTAATGGTCTCTGCCCATAGCTTATATGGCATCTAATTCTATTATGTATCCCTCGGGTATATGCAAGTATGCCCTGTTACTAACTTACTTACAACAATTCTTGATTTCTTTAAACTGGCCATGTATGACTTCATTGTCCTCATAACTCACTTTTTCACTACATGAGGTAAACATGGATTTGATATATACTTGTTGGAGGTAGAAATGATATTAGGTTCACCTTCATATGTTGATGTGCCAAAATTAGGGTGCTTACAAACCATGAGTTTCTCCCTTGGTGCATTTTAAAACTGCCAGATCATGGATTTTACAGAAACTAAAGCTATAAATTAGCATTTAGTTTGTGCTATGATATGAAGTGTACAATTCCTTTGTATGTGCACAAAAACAACACTTGCATAGGCAACATATATGATGAAACTAAAATAAGCTAGCATTCCATAGTTGCAGTGGCAAATAAGCTTCTATTTATCTTCATTTTAGCCCAATTGTAGTTGAGTAAATTGCATGGTATGCTTTATAGTTTCTACTACACTATAGCTCATGTTGTTTGTCTATTCAATTTTTCTGCTATTGCTTAAACCATCGAAGGCTTGGCCTCACATTAGGCCCAAATGGGGAGGATCAAGGAGTCTAAGATCAATGAGCCTTTCATCAATTCATAACTACAGTATGATATAGGGGTGGATGTTCTACACACAGTCAAGGGTATCTTATTGTCTTGTTTTCCTCCACATTATTATAATAAAATTAGGAAAATATTAGGATGTAACATGTGGTATAATCACCATACGGGATAGTTCCATGTTTCCTTTTTTTAACAAAAGGTGGATTCTATTGACTCAAACTGAAGCATCAAAGGGATACAAAACACAATGAACATGCACCTGGTCTACATGACTAGGTTACACACAACCAAACACCATGCACACACACAACGAATCACTGCGACAAAGAGGAGACTCATACAGGACCAAAGTTATGGCTAGGCGGAGGAAAAAAATCTGAGACAAGCAAAACAACGATCATGTGCACCAACCATCTCTTGACATCACAAGGATAACGGGAAAGATTCTTCAACAACGCCTCCTGGAAGAAAACGATGCTTAAGCGCCATTGGGTTTTCACCCCAAAGTCAAGAAATCCGAGCAATACCTTCAACAAAAGGCGTCCCCTTCTCTTGGTCAGAAGTTGCAGTGTTCCCGAGTCTAATTCAATGTTTGGGTAAGTGCCAACAATAGTGAACCATATTATGATCTACCATGACATCATTATATTATTTCTGTGGGGATTTGTGGCAACTGTCGTTCTGAGCTGATGTGCACGTCCTGTTTTTTCTTCTTCTATGATCCAGGAGCCTGGAATTGAACAGATGGGTAGAGCCATCTGCTACTCACAACATATCTATATTTCGATTTGTGCCAAATTCGTGTAAAGAGTTTTAGGACAGAAGAAATGCATTGCAGCTTTATGTAATTCATTCATGGATATCTTCATGTGTAAACATATTCAGGTCATTGTACGTGTTTATGTATTTCTTTCACGGCTCTTGGCACGTTTCGTAGAATCATATCAATACCAATATCTTTCATGTTTGAGAAAAGATTGAACAAATATGCCTCTGAAATGAACAAAGATGAACAACTAACACGCGTGTTCATCCGAGATAACTTGCCTCATCACAGCACAAGCCGTAGCAAAGTTCTCGCAAACTATGTAAAAGTAAAGCAGAATCCTCGTCGACGTCCTCCGCGGCCTTGAGCTCCAAATGCCCCTGCGGCGGGCCTGCTACCTGCGGCTGCGGCGCCTCCTCCTCGAAGCTCCCGCCCTGCTTGAACTTGCGAGCAAAGTACTCGTACTTGAGCACGTCCAGGTCGCTGACGCTCCGCCTCGCGTGCTCCATGGCCCCCAGGAAGTGCTTCCGGGTGATCTCGGCGCCGGCCATGGCCGCTGCCTTGCCGACGAGCGAGCTCCTCTGGATGACGTCGCGCACCGCCAGCTTGCACGCGCGCTGGCAGATCTCCGTGATGTCGGCGCCGCTGAACCCTGCCGTGGAGCGGGCCAGGTCCGGGAGGTTGACGCGCCTGGACAGCGGGGACCGGCGCAGGCACGACTTGAAGATCTGCAGCCGCGACGCCTCGTCGGGGAGCGGGATGTAGATGAGCTGGTCGAGCCGCCCCGGCCGGAGCAGCGCCGGGTCGATGATGTCCGGCCGGTTGGTGGCCCCGATCACGAACACCGTCTTCTTGGCGTTGATCCCGTCCATCTCCGTGAGCAGCTGGTTCAGCACCCGGTCCGACGTGCCGCCCGCGTCGCCCACGCTGTTGCCGCGCTTGACGGCGATCGAGTCCAGCTCGTCGAAGAAGAGGACGCACGGCGCCGACTGGCGCGCCTTGTCGAACAGGTCGCGGACGTTCGACTCGCTCTCGCCGAACCACATGGTGAGCAGCTCCGGGCCCTTGACGCTGATGCAGTTGGAGGCTGAAGCGCCGGAGCGCGGGGTCGAGGCTGTTGGGGCGGTTGGTGGCGCCGATGACCATGACCTGCGCGCGCGGGCGGAGGCCGTCCATGAGCGTGAGCAGCTGGGACACGACGCGGCGCTCCACCTCGCCGTGCGTCTTCTCGCGGTTGGGCGCGATGGCGTCGATCTCGTCCATGAAGATGATGGACGGCGCCTGGGCCTCGGCCTCGGCGAACACCTCGCGCAGGTTGTCCTCGCTCTGGCCGGCCATCATGGACATGATCTCCGGCCCGTTGACGACCACGAAGTTGGCGCCCGACTCGGCCGCGATGGCGCGCGCCAGCAGCGTCTTGCCGGTGCCGAGCGGGCCGTAGAGCAGGATCCCCTTGGGCGGCTTCACGCCCAGCGTCTTGAAGAGCTTGGGGTGGCGCAGCGGCAGCTCGACCAGCTCCCGGATCTGCGCGAGCTGCTTCCGGACGCCGCCGACGTCGTCGTAGCCCGGGCCGTCGAGCTTCTCCTCGTCCTCCCGCTTGACCGGGCTGGCGTCGTCGCAGAAGACCTGCGTGCCGGCCGCCACGATGACGCACTCGTCGGGGTCCGTGTCGACCACCTTGAACTCCACGGCGTGCATGTGGCCGTGCACCACGAACCGGTCGCCCTTGCGCACCGGCCGCCGCGCGCCAATGAAGTAGGCTGCAAATCCATCCATCCACGCGCAGAGCAGAAAGAATCAATCAACAGCTCAAGAAGACGCAAGAATCAATCGACAGCTCAAGAAATGGTTGACGACGGTTACTAGAGAGAGGACTTACGCTTGACGTAGGCGTCGAAGAGGTTGCCGCTGATGCCGTCGACGGAGTCCTCGAAGGGGGAGATGGCGACGCGGGCGGCGTCCTTGACGCCGGGGCAGGGGACGACGGTGACGAGGTCGCCAAGGCGGAGGCGCAGGTTGCCGCGGACGACGCGGTTGACGCGCGCCAGGCCGTCGGGGCACGACGCGTCCTTGGCGGCGTAGCAGACGGTCTCGCGGCGGCGCTTGCCGCGGAGCGCCACCACGTCGCCGTTGAAGAGGTCGAGCGCGTCCATGGTGCCGGGGCTCAGCGCCACCGTCGAGCTGTCGACGGCGACCCCGCCCTCGGCGTCGTCCACCACCAGCCGGTTCGGCGCCTTCTTGCGTTCCAGGATCGCCGTGCTGTAGTCCTTCTTGGGCTCCATTGGCGGCAGCGGCGATCGATCGATCAAGCTTCCTCGGCCGATCTGATCGGAGATCGAGCGAATCGGCTGCTCCGTCGTCACCTTCTCGCCCCACTGGTGTCATTGCATTCTCGCCTCCTTTCCAACTGGACATGCGTATGCCTTCACCTTTGTCTGATCATGTGGCATATGTCGCCCTGATAGGAGAAGCGCACGGGGAGTTGGGGCAAATTGATCATCGGTCACGTGACTCTAATTTATAATTTATGTGCACTGCGCAAAAAAGATTAGTCGGAAGCGCACTGCAACATCTGTAAGTTCACCATCTATTTGAACTTGTCTGCATTCATTAAAATGATATTTAATACCTACCTCATCCCTTGCACAAACTTATGTGTATTACATGTGTGATTGTGTCACCGATTTTCGCCTCCAATCCGAGAAGCTAAGATCTTTACTGAACTCACCACCCCAAGCCATTCCATTGAGTTGAAGCACTGACTAGAATGTGAAATCTGCAACTTCTGATTTGGACATATATGAATGTATGAAATGCAATGCAATGCAATTATGAGATGAATATGGATGTATTGTGAAATTTTGTGAGTGTATATGAGAGCAAGCCGCAACAAAAATCTAGACTTCCACCTCCGAAATGGAAATAGTTGTTGTATTACGAGTGTTGGCCGAAAGAAAAACCAAAATTCCACCTCGTATATGGAAATGCAGAAAGTTATGTTCCAGAAACCGCATGAAATGTTCGTGAATTGGAGGTGGTTCTAAAAGAAAAGTTACATCTCTAGTGTTCAAAGTATTGGAGGTCGTTTGCCTTTGGAAACCGCTTGTAGTGTGAAATCATTACATGCGGTTATGCATCCGCCTCTAATACTACAAATATTAATGACACATGCTTAGATGCGGAACGGGAAACCGTCTCTGGCCCATATACAAAAACCTCCTCTAAAGTTCACTCTTATATTAGTTGGGGTTTTCAATTGCAACTCTTTATTACAATAGGCCTATGAATAACCATTTTTTAATGGCACATGTCTTGGGACAAACCGAGCATGTTTCTTTCCGTAGGGTTTATTGACATCCCACCTTGCAACATGGAATGACACTTGGAGCCCATCGAGTTGTCTAATGAGCGTGGCATTTTCAAATGAAACTCACAATAGAATGGAAAGTTTGACATAAAATTGTTATACATGATGATGGCTCACACTGATGTATATGTGGATAATAAAAACTGTGGAAGCTAAAACTGTGTCTCAGATATTCCTATGGTTCATGCATCAAGGGATAGTCTTGACTAGGGACAACCTCGCTTGTTGAAACTAGAAAGGTAGTAAGCGTTGTGCCTTTTGTCCTCGTAACGAGTCCATTAAACACACATTCTTTGAACGTAAGCATACTTGTTTGGTATGATCCATAGGCCATATAGCTTCAAACATCTAACCATCCAGTAGCGCACATAATATGATTGCCAACTAGTTGAGGGGTATTGACAAAAAGTTCCATTCACATATTTGTTGTTGGGGGGGGGGGCTCGTGTTGGACTCTGTGGCATTCTAGGAATGATGTGGTTTTTAACTAAAAAAATTTGTTTCAACTCTCGTGCTAGTTATTCACGCATGTACATACCGGCTCCGTACTTGGTCTATTCTAAAGATACCGGGTGATAGAGACCTATTTCCATGGTGTCTACTTGGCCGAAGCTTACGGGCATAGAGGTTTTCTTCAACCATGGGTGACGGTGTAGTTTCAGATAATACTTCCTTAGTTTCCCCCCTTTTTCCTGTAAAATGGTTTATTTTTCTTTTTGTCTAGATGTGTTGTCTGTGTGCATCTTGTTATGCAGAGGCTGGGCGCTTGCTCAGTGTGGTTGTATCAAATGGTTTCTTTGCTTTATTATGCAATAAGAGGAGTTCTTCCATTATCAGTTGGCACTTTCAGATTCTAATGATGACATATGAGTACAATGTGTCAATTTACATGAGCATGCTAATCCCTCTTGTATAGGTTCATATGACAGCCATCTAATGCATTACAGAGACATTCAAAATACAAAATAAATGATTATTGTAGATTAAACTGCAAAAGGTCAAATAAAAACATATAACGCAAGTATAATAAAATTTCATAAAGATGAATAGTGCATACCTTTAGCTTATGTTCATAAGCTATCAAAGAAGATTAATCATGCACACCTACAACATCATCTTCCTTCCGAGATAACTCGTTTTCTGTTCAGAGGTCTCTTTCCTACTTGAATATATTATTAGACTAACTCAGATACATCTGTTTAGTGTTGACAAGTTCTAAAAAAACCTACATAGATTATCACACACCAACTTTGATCTATGCTACGTTAGTTTCTCTAGTATTGATCTCCTTTTCACTTGTCAATGCATTACAGTTATCTGACGAACCTAGTTGGCTTCTTGTTATCACATCATTTTTGGTAGACATTTTTCTATGGTACAAAGAATGCCTCCAAGAATCCTCTCTTCACAGAACATACACTTATTTTTGGTAGACATATTTATGTGGTACAAAACATCGGTTGTAGACAGACTTTGCCTTGCCGGCCTCCACGCGACCTTTGTCTTGCCCGGGATCTTATGTCTCCAAGTTTTGTCCAAGCTATCTCCTCCTTCTTCGTACTAGAACTTCAAGAGCTGCCATCAAGCCAAGCTTCTCTTTTGTTATGCCTATGACAGTATGCAGTGCATACCAAAAAGGTCCCAAATTTCTCCACTGTCCACGCCCAACAGTCCTCCATGTTGGTCAATGGTAGCGGAATTTGACGTTCTACCTCCACATCAACAAGGAGAAGATGGTACTGCAACATCTCCATATTTCATGCCCTAGATGCTTGGTGAGTTAATTCACATACCCTAGTTGGGCAATCCTCTTTTACTAGTGCAGAAGGCCTCATCATGTTATCCCTTAGTAACCAATTGTCGTTCTAGATGTGAGTGGTTTCTCTCCCCCCAATTCTTCTTTATTAGTCTTTGTTTCAAGATATCTCTTCCATCTAGGATTGATCTCCAAATCTATGATGGTCGCAGCCCCAATTATGGATTCAAGAAATCCGTATTGGAAAAATATGCAACCTTAAGGATCTGAGCTTTTAGATAATTTGATTTCCTGAAGAATTCTCCATCCTTGTTTGCCAATAACGCCAAGTTAAACAACTCAATTTTCCTAAACCACATTCCTCCCAAATACTTTGGTTTCCTTCCGTGAAATCCAAGTTGTTTTCCTTTTACCTTCCTTGGTTCCCCACCAAAACTTTCTCAACTCGGAGTCAGTGTGTTCACACAAGCCCCCTAGGAAGTTTGAAGCACCCCATAGCTTATGTGGGCAAAGCTTGTGCTACTGATTTTTGTAAGAACCCCCTTTCCAGGCACAGAAAATAATTGTTCAATCACCCTTTTATTCTTTTCCACAATCGATCCTTCACATACCTGAATACACCATTCTTCGATCTTCACACCTCTGTAGGCATATCGAGGTATTTTTTATTCAATAAGTGCTACTGATTGTACCTCTAAAACTTGCTTCACTTCAGCCTTCAAGTCACTGGGACAACCCTTGCTAAAGAATACAGAAAATTTCTCCAAATTTACTCTTTGATCCGAGGCATTGGAATACAAGTTTAGAACTTCTCTGATTTCCTTGATGAATACCTCTCGAAGGAGGAAAAGAATCTAGTCCAGTACATCAAAAACTACCAAGAAAGAAATCCGAGGCAACTAATCAACGGGTACCCTCTAGGGCTTCCTGTAGCGGACAGTTGTGCTTCAAACTATGCTTCTTGAAAAGTGAAAGGCATAGCATAGCTATGCTACACGACAAATCTCACATGTACTTCTCGAAAAGTGAAAAAAGCATAGCTGTGCTCAGAAAGTTGTGCTTCTCGAAAGTGAAAAACACAGTTGTGCTTCACGGTGAAGCATAATTGTGTTTTCAGAAAAGTAAAAAAAAACACAATTTTTTTTTCGTGTGGAGCATGGTTGTGCTTCCGGTTTCTTGTTTTAGTTTCTATTCAATTTTGTTTCCCCCTGTTTTCTTGCTTTTCTGGGTTCCATTTTTTGCTTCTATTTTCGGAAAAAATCATCCAAATTTATTAATATGGAATTTAGTTTCAAAGATCTAAACGCCAAAACACAATGATGACAACAATTTGTGATTCGGGCATGCCGTTTAAGAGAAGGCAATAAGTGTCTCACCTATGATGTGCCATTTGTCAACGCTAGAGAAGTGTGTGTGCAGGCGTTCGTAGGGGTGAGTGTATGCTCATGTATATGAGTGACTTAATTGTACCGCATTTAGAAAAAAAATGCTATACAAGTTGTGAGTGACCTTTACCAGAGGTACCCTTAATAAACGTAGTTTTTTTTTGAGAAACACGGTACCCTTAATAATAGTGATTTCGAAGAAACCATCCCCGGAAAATGGGTTGCACCGTGGCAGGAAGGGCCCGGTAGGCCGATATTATTTGGGCCGTGAGCTGACCGTGGCTGGACTGGACCAACGCTAGCTTCAGCCTGGAGCTGACGAGCGAACAGAGAGACCAATTCCTCCCGACTCCCCAAGAGACAGCCAGCGCCGCCAGGCAGCAGCGGCGACGGTTGACGGCGACGGCGGCAGCAGCACCGGTGCGGCACAAGCGTCGGCGGCAGCACAGGTGCGTACAGGCCATACCCGTCCGCGCAACATCTAATTTTCTTCCGTCCGCCGCCACTGGACGAGGGTCTAGCTAGGGTTTTGATTCGAGCGAAACCCCAGCCCCCTAGCTCGACTCACCCGGTGCTCGTGTTGTTTCCTTGTTCGATCCGCTTTGGTCGGGCAGTGTCCGCTGGGATTGACAGTTCGAACATTGCTGGGCGAGGGAGTGCGGCGGATTTAGGTTGCAATTCGTGGCTTGCTGGGTTGTGCAGTAGCTTGCCACTGAGCCGCAGCATCCGCTTATGCCTGTGCGCTCGTGGGTTAAATTCTAGATGCAGATAGGA